TGCCGTGAGGGGGCCAATCAGATTCCAGCAGGGGCCATGGCCCCTGTGACCCCTCCCCTCCCTTCGCCACAGTGAGCAGGTACGTTGAGTGGAAAGAGAGCGTTTGGAGCGTCATGGCGGTGGTTAGGTCACCATGGTAACCAGAGCGGCCGTTGGCATCGGCAGTCCAGTCCTGAGTGAGCCGACACCTGAAGGGGGCGCCACAAGCAGAGGAGTGGAAGTGGCCTGAACGTACAGGGAGTGTTTGATTGATTGATTCATACACGGAATTATTAAAAGAGTGTGGAGCTCAGGGGAAGAAAGAAGAGGAAGAAAACGGAAAAAGACAGAGGTACGATAACGTCAATGCAATGGAGTTAATTAGATTAAGCAGGGTTATCTCCAGCCTGATAACAGAGTAACGGCTGTTAGGCTGCTGCCTGAAAAAATGACGCTGCAAATTGGGCCGTTACGTTGTTTTCGAGGGTATGTAGCGGGAAAATGATCACTTCTCTACATTGATTGTACCTGGTTCACTGACGTGTATTTAGGGAAATATTTAACATTAAAGCTGCAAGCAGCGTTGGTCGGGTCCTCGGTCCGCGTTGCAACCTCATGCCCGTCTGACCATTCCTCAAGTTAAACCTGCTTTAAGTTGGAGCCATTTTTCTCTCTCTGCTCAGCCTGTCAGTGAGTCACATGACCGCTGTGATGATGTCATCGTTCTTCATGCCCCTCGGACCCGAGCAGCCAAGACGTTACGTTAGCGTCTTAGCTGCTAGCGTTAGCAGCGAATATGCTAACGAATAGCAGCGAAGATGCAACGAGTAGCAGCGAAGATGCCAACGAGTAGCAGCGAAGAATAGGTGTCAGTTAGCCAGGGAGTATCGGTAAGACCCCCCCGCTACGCTGTCAGACATTTCTGTTGAGAAAACCGTGAAGTTAATGAATCGTAGTTACTGTTGTCAGCGCAATGCTAACTTGCTAGCTTATTTTGGCCGACAGCAGCGTTGCTTATAATCACTAAATAGCTATAGTTGACTTACGTTAATATGCTACCACCACCTTAAATTAATCAGGGATGTTTAGAAAGTCAATATCAGGCCTGTTCAGGTGTTATTTTAACCTGTTGAATGTATTTTCCCTGCTGTCCCTTAAAATACTTATTTTTCCTTCCTCTTTATATGCTGTATGGTGCTAAGTTTACTCCAATATTAAAGTACAGTTAATTATCCATCCTTTAGATTTCTCCATATTATAATGAATTACACACACGTATATTTATATAGTGTAACGTCCAGTTGGACGAAAGAATGAGGCAGGAGACAATGTTCCGTCGTTTTAATGCCTCAACAAAATAGAACAGGGTTACATTCAGCCGTAACCAGGCCAAAACCTCTGAACTGTCGGGTCGCAATCTCGCGCACACCACTCACAATATGTGCCCATGCACGCTCACGTCCGTCTCACGCTCCTCCGCCCTCTCTCTCTCTCTCTCTCGCACACACACACCTACACACACACACACACACACACACACACCTCAGTAACAGCAAACGATCATCCTGACTAAACAATAGTGCAACCTACATAAAGGGCTGCACAATGGATTTCCTCTAACCCTGTGATATATATTGCGATACAAGAAAATACAGGAACTTTCAACAGATGAATTGAATAGCACTTTAAGTCATACTGCACTCCTGCCATCTTGTTGACAATGAACCTGCACTGATCTCACCTCTGTGTGTGAATGTGGGTTGGCAATAAACAAACCGTTGAACTTTTTCAGCTGTACATCCTAAAATGGGACATTACAGCTTCATAGTTAAACTAAGTCACGAACAATGAGTGACAAACAGGTCATTCACATTTTTAGTCAACAACTGAAACCTTTTACAGCAAAACTAAACGTCTTTCTTTTTATCAAAAATTGTAAATAAAATAAAATAAAATCAGAGCAGCTCTACATCAGATTCCTAAGTGGTCCACAGCCCCTTGTTTTGTAGATAATTGAACATAAATAAACAAGCTGTAGAACATTTTTTTATATTTGTACAATGCCTTATTTGTATTGTTTTTTTAGTTTATGTCACTTGTTTCTTCAGTTTTATTTATTGTGTTGTTTATACTTAAATAAAGCTTGAATGTGTGCATACAGTTTCTGTGTTATGGTATGAAAATGAAGAGTGAAATTCACTGTAATGCTATGGGGCGCCAACTACAGTCTTGCCCAGAACACCAAATTGGTGTGGGCCGCCCTGAGACACTTTGACGCTTGAGCATAGAATGGTGTCCTAATCAAGATGTGTTTGATGTCACAGGTGATTGGCAGGAGGAAGAGAGTCTGACGGAGGAGCAGAGGAACGTCGGCAGCCATTTTGTCTGAGCTCAGCACCGGAGGAAAAATGGGTTCTTCACAAAAAGTGAGAAACATATCACTATAATAACAATAATACCTTATTTTCTAAAATGTGGTATTTATGGACAGGATCTGAAGGCACAACCGTGGTGAGGAGGGTGTCGGGTTTGTGGACCTCCGCGTCACATCTCTGCTTTTTGCAGATGACGTGGATTTGTTGGCTTCTTTAGAATTCAAACTTTAGCATGCGCTGGGGGTTGGACAGCCCTGGGGGGTCAGCTGAAAAGAGCGTCACCACAGGAGGCCATGGTTCACTGCCAGAAATCAGCCGAATGCTCCCTCTGGTTTGGGATGAGTTTCCTTGTCAAACGAAGGAGTTCACGCATCTCAAGATGTTGTTCGTGAGTGATGGGAAAATAAAGCAGGAGACAGACAGGAGCAGCACTAATGCAGGCATTCTACTGGACTGTTAAGGTGAAAAGAAGCTGAGCCGGATGGCGACGCTCTCCATTTGCTAGTCTGTCTTTGTCCCACCCCTCACCTATGGTCATGGTGTCGGGGTAGTGTCGGAAAGAATGACATCACAGATACAAGCAGCAAAGGTGAGATTCCCCTGTAGAGACGGGGGGAGGAGCTTGGAGTAGAGTCGGTGCTACTTTGCGTCAAACGGAGCAGGCCGAAGTGGTTTGGGCATCTGATCAGGATTCCTCCTCGCCCCTTTCTTTGCGGGTTTCCTGGGCACGTCCAACTGGGAGCAGACCCCGAGACGAGACCAGAATTCAGTGGCAGAATTCCATATCTCATCTGGCCTGGTAACAACCTGTGATCCCCCAGGACCCAACGGAAAGTGTTGTTGGGGAACGGAGCGTCTGGAATGACCTGCGTAGCCTGCTGCCAGCGCGACTCGGCTCTGGATGTCAGTGTTGTGTGCTTTACATTTTGTACACTGATCCAATAATGTGAGTTTACAAGAGGTGTGGATCAACAGATGCTGGTGGTACAGTCCCATCAGTCTCTGCTCTACTTTGCACTTCATGGTATTTGAAAATGTTACCATCCTAATATGCTACAACTACAGTTGAGTAGGTTGAAGACTATGGACCAGTGAAACATTTCATGCTTCCGTTGTGATGGTGTTAGCATGCCAACGCATATAATTCTGACTGTTAGGTAAAT